AAAAAATTACAAAAAAATCCATTAAAAGATTTCATTAAGATGCAAAAAGAGATTCCATCATTGAGATAAGTAACTAAAAATGAAAAGTCAAATCTAAGAAATACTAAAGTTCATATTGAAAATAAATGAAAGATATCGAAAAATTTTCAGTTACAAATATAGTCTAGTCTATAGTCTAGTCTATAGTCTAGTCTATAGTCTAGTCTAGTAGTAGTCTAGTCTAAGTCTAGTCCTATAGTCTAGTCTATAGTCTAGTCTATAGTCTAGTCTATAGTCTAGTCTATAGTCTAGTCTATAGTCTAGTCTATAGTCTAGTCTATAGTCTAGTCTATAGTCTAGTCTATAGTCTAGTCTAGAGTCTAGTCTATAGTCTAGTCTATAGTCTAGTCTATAGTCTAGTCTATAGTCTGTCTATAGTCTAGTCTATAGTCTAGTCTATAGTCTAGTCTATAGTCTAGTCTATAGCTAGTCTATAGTCTAGTCTATAGTCTAGTCTATAGTCTAGGTCTATTAGTCTAGTCTATAGTCTAGTCTATAGTCTAGTCTATAGTCTAGTCTATAGTCTAGTCTTATAGCTAGTCTATAGGTCTAGTCTATAGTCTAGTCTATAGTCTAGTCTTAGTCAGTCTATAGTCTAGTCTATAGTCTAGTTTAGTCTAGTCTATAGTCTAGTCCTATAGTCTAGCTATAGTCCTATGTCTATAGTCTAGTTCTATAGTCTAGGTCTATAGTCTAGTCTATAGTCTAGTCTATAGTCTAGTCTATGTCTAGTCTAGCTAGTCTATAGTCTAGTCTATAGTCTAGTCTATAGTCTAGTCTATAGTCTAGTCTATAGTCTAGTCTCTAGTCTAGTCTATAGTCTAGTCTATAGTATAGTCTATAGTCTAGTCTATAGTCTAGTCTATAGTCTAGTCTATAGTCTAGTCTATAGTCTAGTCTATAGTCTAGTCTATAGTCTAGTCTATAGTCTAGTCTCTAGTCTAGTCTATAGTCTAGTCTATAGTCTAGTCTATAGTCTAGTCTATAGTCTAGTCTATAGTCTAGTCTATAGTCTAGTCTATAGTCTAGTCTATAGTCTAGTCTATAGTCTAGTCTATAGTCTAGTCTATAGTCTAGTCTATAGTCTAGTCTATAGTCTAGTCTATAGTCTAGTCTATAGTCTAGTCTATAGTCTAGTCTATAGTCTAGCTATAGTCTAGTCTATAGTCTAGTCTATAGTCTAGTCTATAGTCTAGTCTATAGTCTAGTCTATAGTCTAGTCTATAGGTCTAGTCTATAGTCTAGTCTATAGTCTATAGTCTAGTCTATGTCTAGTCTATAGTCTAGTCTATAGTCTAGTCTATAGTCTAGTCTATAGTCTAGTCTATAGTCTAGTCTATAGTCCTAGTCTATAGTCTAGTCTATAGTCCTAGTCTATAGTCTAGTCCTATAGTCTAGTCTATAGTCTAGTCTAGAGTCTAGTCTATAGTCAGTCTATAGTCTAGTCTATAGTCTAGTCTATAGTCTAGTCTATAGTCTAGTCTATAGCTGTCTTAGTCTATAGTCTAGTCCTATAGTCTAGTCTATAGGTCTAGTCTATAGTGCTAGTCTATAGTCTAGTCTATAGTCTAGTCTATAGTCGTAGTCTATAGTCTAGTCTATAGTCTAGTCCTAGGCTATTCTATAGTCTAGTCTATAGTCTAGTCTATAGTCTAGTCTATAGTCTAGTCTATAGTCTAGTCTATAGTCTAGTCATAGTCTAGTCTATAGTCTTTTATATGTTTTAGTCCATAGTCTATAAAAATCTATAGAAAATTTATCAATTTTGTACAGAAACTCTCCTTCCGTTTGGATTTTATCTCTATAACCTTGAAACATTATTCTGTTCCTCAGAGAGCACTGATCTTACTGAGAACTGTATAGTTCCATAAAAATATTGAAATAAAACCTGAAATCATACACACACCCTCTTTATGATAGAGTTCGTTTAATGTAATGTCAACACCACATAATTTATATATGGAAATGCATATAAATCAATTAAATTACTTCCTTATGTACAAAAAAACTTATGCATGTTTGTACATACATACATATGTATGTATGTAAAGTTATTTATCGTTTAAAATTTATTGTCTCTATAATATTAAACATTTATTTTTCACATTCACCTTCATCTTTCAGTTACTGTGAACGAATCTTGGTGATTTTGTGTTTTATTTTTCTCCTTTTTTCTTTTCAAATAAATGAAAAGTGGTTTTACTTCGTTATTAAGTGAAAAAAAAATATAATTTTATTTTTATAAAAATAAAATTTTAAAAAAACATAAAATGTCTACTAAATGTTTAGCTATTTTACAATTAATTTGAGTTGTTTTTGTGAATTTTAAATTTTAAATATTTTTAACCGAAATGAAGTTTAAGGTCAACTACTTGAACAGCACATGATCTAAACATCTTAGGTTATTGGCTTCGCCATACAAGTGATTGTTGCATGTAGAAGTTGTATCTCTAGTAAATACATTTTATGCAGCTTATTTTATATATGCAACAAGAATAAGAACAAGAACTTAAGTCAATGTTAATATTGCAAAAACAAAAAGTCATTAACATTTTTTAAAGGCTTTAAATCTTACCATAAGTAGGCTGGTTTTTTAATTATTTAAGGTTTTCTAAATATAATTAATAATCAAATAAATCTTTTTAAAATTAAATTTAATGTTTTTAAGCTGAATTAATATTTTGAAAATATTTAAATGTTAATGGTTTATTAAATAGTTTAAAGCGCTGTCAAGTCTTTTATAGGCTGAGAGTAGTTATAAAAAACTACAAAATTAAAAGTTTAATTGATCTATAAAGCTTTTTATTTATCACATATTTCACATTTAAAGCTTAATTACAGGAAAAGCTTTTTATTTGGAAGAACTTTAATGATCATCAAAAAGTTTTAGTTAAAGCTTTGATTAGATAAAAGTAAAAGATCTAAAATTTTCTTTATTTAAAGCTTAATTTATAGTTAAAGTTTTTATAGAAATTCTATTCAAAAATTCTTCAAAAACTTTACTAGAAGTAATTAATGGAATCAATTTATACGGCAAAAGGTTTTAATAAAGCTTTTGATAAGATATAGGAAAAAGCCTACAATATATTCAAAGTTTTAAAAGCTTATCAGATATTCCACATTTAATGCTTAATTACAAGAAAAGCTTCTTATATGGAAGAACTTTAATGGCACCAATAAATTAATTCTCTTCATCAAAAAGTTTTATTTAAAGCCATTGATAAGTTAAAAGCAAAAGCTCTAAAATTTTCTTTATTTAAAGCTTAGTTTCTGGATAAAGGTTTTTATAGAAATTCTACAAAAGCTTCAAAAACTTCACTAGAAGTAATTAATGGAATCAATTTATACGGCAAAAGGTTTTAATAAAGCTTTTGATAAGTTATAGGAAAAAGCCTACAATATATTTAAAGTTTTAAAAAGCTTTTGATGAAAATTTACTTTATATAGAAAAGCTCCAAACACTTCAATATGTATTAGTACGTAATTGAATCACTTCTCAAACTAAAAGCTTTTAGTAAGGTAACACAAAAAAGTATTTAAAGCTTTAAAGCTGAGAAAAAACTTTGAATGGTAATTTATTAAGGAACTTTTAATGAATATAGTAAAAGATTCTATAATATTTAATGCTGATTTTATAGCTTTAAAGCTTATTTTTAACAATAAGCTGATAAAGCTTTAATAATTGAATCTTCTTTATATAATGTAAATGTATATGTAAAGTTTTAATTGATTTACAAAAGCTTTAAAAGCTTCAATCAATAGTAGTATAGAATTGTTTGCTTTATTAATGGGCTCTTATCTAAGGAAGATGTTTAAATAAAACTTTTAATAGCTTTAAAGCTTATTTCATATAAAGCTTAATAACTGGATAAAACTTTTAAGAAAATTTAATTTTAAAAAGCTTTTAAGCTTAAACTTATAATTAAGACAAATAAGAAAAAAAAAGCTTTTAATATATTAATAGATTTACTAAAACTTGAAAAATTTTAAGTTTTTTTTTTAAATGGGTGTTGAGAAATTATAGAAAAACAACTTTTTGTAAGATAAATATTTTATCAGAGCTTTCAATATTCCTCTCTGGATACTCCTTTTCAGATACTCTCTCAAGCCTAAGCTTTTGATAAGTAAAAAGTAAAAAGCCTACCATAAATTATTTACGAAAAGCTTTAATAGTGCCATTTAATTGATATTATACTCAAGAATCAAAGTATAATTGATGGTCTTCTCCAGACAAAGCTTTTGATAAGTAACAAATAAGGAAAATCTGCAAAATTTAAAGCTTTTTGATATGTCTACTGGAAAATTTACTTTTTGTAAGGTAAATCTCTTAACTGAGCTTTCGATATTGAACAAGAACAGTTAAAAGTAAAGCTCTTGGTAAAAACCTTAACAATTTATGCAAAAAAGCTTTACTTAAGGCAAAATTTAACAAAAAACATAAAGTTATAATAGCTAATAGTATTTGGCATTATTTTGAAAGTTTCCGTTAAAAGTTTTTTTAATTAGCAATGAACTCTTTGTAGAATTAAATTCATTAATAAAAATTGACAATAAGGAAATTATTTGATTTTCAATACTGTTTACTTAATCGAATAAAAAAACTAAATTAAATAATCATTAACAATTATGTGTAGCTTTTGATTGATTAAAAATTTACGTAAATTAAAATTTGTTTTCCAGCATAAAGAAATATTAACACTTAAGAATAAAAGAAATTTTTATATTTTAACACATTAACAAATTAACACATTAAATAAATTAACAAAAACCTTAAAAATTTAACACAAAACAATAGAGAAAAACAGATAAAAGTAAAAAAAGTTAACAACATGTGACTTCTTAAGAAACTGAATATCAAAACAAATAATTTAAACAAATAAACATAAATATTTATATACAAAATTTTTCCATATTAAACTGCAATTTCTAATTTCATATTCATTTCATTACTCTACTTTCAGCTACACAAATGCTCCTCAAAGTACGATTAACAATGCTAGTCTCCTGTATCCCTCCTCAAATGGACAAGTCTATCGTATACATCCGGCCACCACTGTTAATACAGTACCTAATGCCCACAATCATAATGGTGATGTTGTCGATGGTGTGGCCATTATTTCCTCAAATTCTGAATCATCTTCCAATTCCCATGGTTTTTCACAACGTCTCAAGGAATTGGCTGCCTCAGCAGGACTATTGTCTCTGAAGCCTAGAACTCCTCTGAAACCAGTTATTAAAACACGCGGCTCTCCGGGACCAGAATTTCCCAAAAAAGTCACTTTTAGTGCCTTTGCCACAGTGCAAGTGGTGTGATTTTATGGAATAGCTATAGAATTGGGTATTGAGTTATAGCTACAACACTAATACTCTTCTACTTTGTAACCAAATAAAAGTGTGGCTTTAAAAGGTTTTTAACATTTTTGTTTCCATATTTCTAAATAATCTAAAATTTAAAAATATTTATTTAATTAATTAACAAAGTTTTTAATTTTTTTCTTTTTCATTTCATTAGGTTGCTGCTGTTAAAAAAATTAATATAAATAATATTGATCACAAATGATGATGATGTTGTGGGAAATCAGCTGCTTCTTATTGTTGCTATGTTTGTAGTATTTAGATCAAATAATTTTGTTGATTTATTTTATAATAATGAACTTTTTTCAGAAAAAAAAATATATAATATTGTTATTAAAAATGTATAATAAAACTTGCTTAACACATAATGCACAATGGGAAAGCAAACTTTACATTAAAAATAATGTCTAAAAGATTTCTACAGAAAAGCTTTTTAAAGCTTTTTAAAAAATCCTAAAAAAGCTTTGAAAATTTCTAATAAATTGAACTATAAGAGCAACTTTTTGAACAAAAAATTTGAAAAGCTTTGTTGTTAAAATATTGCCAAAGCTTTTATAGTTAAATTCATAAAAATATATCGTAAAGCTGTTATTGTAATGAATCGAACTTTAATGGCAACTTTTGAACAAACAACTTGAAAATCTTTGTTGTTGAAATATTGTCAAAGTTATTAAAGTTAAACTCGCAAAAGCTTTTATTTCAATGATTAGTAATAGTCAAATTCAAAAATTTCAAACAACAATTTTTAAAAGCTTTAACGTTTAAATAGTACAAAAGCTTTGATAGTTTCCAATATCTAATACATTTTCAAAAATACTATTAAAAGCTTTAAAAGCTTTCATGTTAAAATACATTCTGAACTGTTAGCACAACTTTTATACAAAAAATTCAAAAGTCTGGATTTAAAATGTTGTCAAAGCTCTTATATGTATCTAATAAATACAATAAACCTTTTAATAAGCTTTTATTTTTATGAATCATGAATTGGTGTTAAAATTGTGCCGAAGCTTTGATTTAAGGAATTTTCAAAACTATTTCCGAAAGCTTTTAAGTTGTTCTGCAACAAATTTTAAAAGCTTTGGTCTTGAAATATTGCCAAAGCTGTAATAGTTTAAAATATCTAATAAATTTAAAAAAATTATCAAAAAGCTTTTAAACAACAAACTTTAAAAACATTGTTGTTAAAATTGTGTCGAAGCTTTCATAGTTTTCTATATCTAATGAGTGAGTAAAACTTTAGTACTCAAAATTAAAAGCTTATATATCTAAGGCGAAGCTTTAAATATTATACTTTATAGAAAAAGCTTTTTAATATTTCTTGGAAATGCTTTTAAATATTTATAAAATTTCTATAAAAAAATAATTAAATACTCCTTAATGCTTTAAAACAATTATGAGCAATTTTTTCTGTGGAAAGCTTTTACAACTAACTGCTTGAAGAGTTAAGCTCTCTAAAAATTAAAAAAGCTTTTTCTTAATGATAACCAAAAAACTTTTATTATAAAGCTTTTAATATAGGTATTTGAGCTTAAGAGTAAGCTTTTAAAAAAAAATAGTTTTTATGTTAAAGCTTTAATATAAAATACTAAATATTATGCTCTATATGTATGTATTAAATAAAAAGCTTTTTCTTTTATAACAAAACAAAATAAAAGAAAACACACCTTTATTAGAAAGCTTTTAAAGCAGTTTTTGATATTAACCTCTACAAACTTTTTTAGGTTTCACACAAAGCTTTTGAGTAATTATAAAGCATTTGTTTGAGATAAAGCCTTGTCGAAAGCTTTTAAGTTAAGTTTAAGTTATTATGAAATAGTTTTTATAAATTTTAAAACTTTGTTAAGCTTTGGTAAACTGTTTAAACAATGTTTAATATAAAGCTTTTTACTTAAGAAAAAAGGCTTGTCAAGTCAAAGCTTTTAATAAAAGTGATAAGAAAACTGAATAAACATTTTTCAAATGAAAATTTTAAAAATAGATTTTGTAAACTTTTAAGCTTTTAATTAGGCTTTTTATATAGTGTATATAATTCTAAAAATGCTTTCTCAACGCAAAGCTTTGATAAAACTAACAAGAAAAAACATTTCAAAACTTAAAAGAGAGCTTTTTTAAGCTAAAGCTTTTAACTAAGCTTTCAATATACTATAGAAAAAAGTTCAACTAAAACTCTTTAGACAGTTTTTGAGCTTAAAAGTTAAAATTATATGCAAACCCATTGTGCTTTAATAACTTTTAAAAATAATAAAAAGAAATATTTCTTATCTCTACATTATAAATGTGATTTATATTTTTAAAAACTTATGAAAAAACGGTAATTGTGCCATGTTTAAATGTGGCTTAATAATTTTAGAAATTGTAACTAAAATATTAATTTCCGCTGCAATAACACAAAATTCTAGTTTAGGAAAATTATAACAAAAAATAAAACATATTTAAAACAAAAATTATAACAAAAAAAGTTAAACATTGAAAACCAAAAGGTGGTTACATTTATTAACATTAAAAAAACAACACTAAGTAATTATAACAAAATACAAGTCTAAATAAATCTATGTCACTTTATTATATTATTAAATAAATATATACTATATTGTAATTATGTATGTGTGTATTATATTAAAAAATTAAAAAAAAAAAATAAATAAATTAAACGAATTATATATATTTACGAAACAACAAGTTATTGTATAAAAATATTTATAGAATTCACTGAAACAAGTACACTTTAAAATCTAAAATTGAAAAGAAAGCTTTTTTGTAAATTTTAACAAAATTTTGTTTAAAGATTTTTGAAAAAAAAAAAATAATTTGTTTACTTGTGAATTCCCTTTAATATTTAAGTTAATTTCTTTTTTATATTTAAGACTGTATAAAATAATTTTTGTTTTCTTAAGAATTTCTTATATCTTTAAAAGATTTATGTACACAAATTAATAATTATATAAACAAATTGTAATATATATCGTAAAAATTTCAAAATTGTATTAATCTGTTTTATTTTTGTAAATTTAAATAAACAAATAAACTAAATTGTTTATTACAATAAAAACAATATTTATTACTACTGCTTATAAAAAAGTTAAGTGTTTTATTTGAATTATTTTAATCTATTCCTAATTTCGAAATAAGATTCAACAATAAGCCATTTGTCATAACATTTGCTAGAGATATTTCTAGACAAAAGGCTAGTCTACTGACAAGGGGAAATATTAGTCTTTAGACTAGAGCAGTGTTGTCAATATTTTTCTACCATTTTCCGTTAAACCATGTCACAAAAACCGCTAGAAACTGTCAGTATTAAGTTTTCTGCAAAAGTCGCTAGACTATAGACTAGACTATAGACTAGACTCTAGACTAGACTATATACTAAACTATAGAATAGACTACAGAATAGACTATAGACTAGACTATAGACTAGACTATAGACTAGACTATAGACTAGACTATAGACTAGACTAGACTATAGACTAGACTATAGACTAGACTATAGACTAGACTATAGACTAGACTATAGACTAGACTATAGACTAGACTATAAGACTAGACTATAGACTAGACTATAGACTAGACTAATGACTAACTATAGACTAGACTATAGACTAGACTATAGACTAGACTATAGACTAGACTATAGACTAGACTAGAGACTAGACTATAGACTAAGACTATAGACTAGACTATAGACTAGACTATAGACTAGACTATAGACTAGACTATAGACTAGACTATAGACTAGACTATAGACTAGACTATAGACTAGACTATAGACTAGACTATAGACTAGACTATAGACTAAAAAATAGAACTAGACTATAGACTAGACTATAGACTAGACTATAGACTAGACTAATAGACTAGACTATAGACTAGACTATAGACTAGACGATATACTAGACTATAGACTAGACTATAGACTAGACTATAGACTAGACTAAGACTAACTATAGACTAGACTATAGACTAGACTATAGACTAGACTATAGACTAGACGATAGACTAACTAGACTAGACTATAGACTAGACTATAGACTAGACTAGACTATAGACTAGACTATAGACTAGACTATAGACTAGACTATAGACTAGGACTAATAGACTAGACTATAGACTAGACTATAGACTAGACTATAGACTAGGACTATAGACTAGACTATAGACTAGACTATAGACTAGACTATAGACTAGACTATAGACTAGACTATAGACTAGACTATAGACTAGACTATAGACTAGACTATAGACTAGACTATAGACTAGACTATAGACTAGACTATAGACTAGACTATAGACTAGACTATAGACTAGACTATAGACTAGACTATAGACTAGACTATAGACTAGACTATAGACTAGACTATAGACTAGACTATAGACTAGACTATAGACTAGACTATAGACTAGACTATAGACTAGACTATAGACTAGACTATAGACTAGACTATAGACTAGACTATAGACTAGACTATAGACTAGACTATAGACTAGACTATAGACTAGACTATAGACTAGACTATAGACTAGACTATAGACTAGACCTATAGACTAGACTATAGACTACTAGACTAGACTATAGACTAGACTATAAGACTAGACTATAGACTAGACTATAGACTACGACTATAGACTAGACTATAGACTAGACTATAGACTAGACTATAGACTAGACTATAGACTAGACTATAGACTAGACTATAGACTAGACTATAGACTAGACTATAGACTAGACTATAGACTATACTATAGACTAGACTAGACTGACCTAGACTAGACTATAGCTAGACTATAGACTAGACTATAGACTAGACTATAGACTAGACTATAGACTAGACTATAGACTAGACTATAGACTAGACTATAGACTAGACTATAGACTAGAACTATAGACTAGACTATAGACTAGACTATAGACTAGACTATAGACTAGACTATAGACTAGACATAGACTAGACTATAGACTAGACTAGCTAGACTATAGACTAGACTATAGACTAGACTATAGACTAGACTATAGACTAGACTATAGACTAGACTATAGACTAGACTATAGACTAGACATAGACTAGACTATAGACTAGACTATAGACTAGACTATAGACTAGACTATAGACTAGACTATAGACTAGACTATAGACTAGACTATATGACTAGACTATAGACTAGACTATAGACTAGACTATAGACTACGCTATAGACTAGACTATAGACTAGACTATACTAGACTATAGACTAGACTATGACTAGACTATAGACTAGACTAGACTAGACTATAGACTAGACTATAGACTAGACTATAGACTAGACTATAGACTAGACTATAGACTAGACTATATAGACTAGACTAGACTATAGACTAGACTATAGACTAGACTATAGACTAGACTATAGACTAGACTATAGACTAGACTATAGACTAGACTATAGACTAGACTATAGACTAGACTATAGACTAGACTATAGACTAGACTATAGACTAGACTATAGACTAGACTATAGACTAGACTATAGACTAGACTATAGACTAGACTATAGACTAGACTATAGACTAGACTATAGACTAGACTATAGACTAGACTATAGACTAGACTATAGACTAGACTATAGACTAGACTATAGACTAGACTATAGACTACTATAGACTAGACTATAGACTAGACTATAGACTAGACTATACTAGACTATAGACTATACTATGACTAGACTATAGACTAGACTATAGACTAGACTATAGACTAGACTATAGACTGGACTATAGACTAGACTATAGACTAGACTATATACTGACTATAGACTAGACTATAGACTAGACTATAGACTAGACTATAGACTAGACTATAGACTAGACTATAGACTAGACTATAGACTAGACTATAGACTAGACTATAGACTAGACTATAGACTAGACTATAGACTAGACTATGACTAGACTATAGACTAGACTATAGACTAGACTATAGACTAGACTATAGACTAGACTATAGACTAGACTATAGACTACTATAGACTATTAGACTAGACTATAGACTAGACTATAGACTAGACTATAGACTAGACTATAAACTAGACTATAGACTAGACTATAGACTAGACTTTATAAGATAAATCGTTTTTAAGATAAAACTTCAAATAAACTTAGTTTTTTTCGATTTGGAAATTTACCTATTAATTTTATTCCTTTAAATAAATTTTTAATTTATTATTTTCACATATTTAACTTTATTTAATACTTATATTTTATATTTTTTTAATTTTCTTATTTTTTTTTTTTTTTTTAATTAAATTAATTTTCCTACATTTTAAATTAACTTCCCTTTTCAATTTTTCTTATATCACAACCAGGCAAATCTTTTTCTTTCGCATTTCTTCATATAAGCTTTGCGCGCTTTATTGCACAAAAAACAAAAATATCATTAGCAAACGACAATCAAACATTATTTGCACTATTCCTTTACACTAAAATATTTCTTTGAATAACTTGATTACCCATAATATTTCATATTACCCTAAGAGACAATTAAATTTTCTTTAATTTAACACTAATTTTATATTATTTCATGAATTACTTCCTATAGAAATATTCAATTAAAACACTGCACTTTTTCACGAACAATATTTTACCGGCGAGAAAAAACAACGAACTAAGGCAAAAAGGAAGTGTGTAAACAAACATATTTGCCACAGGGTGTGAAACTAGACGGAAATGTTAATTTATTGTTTTTGCTATGTTTAATCCCTAACAACTTGTTGACCATTTAAAACTAATATGTAGGGATATTTTGAAAGTTATACAACTCATAGTTTGCTAGTTGTAAAGCCTTATTTATTTTAAAAGTTATTTTAAAAACATTAAAAACAGCATTGCCAGCCCAAACTTCACCAACTCTCCACCTATACGACATCTCTTTACAAATTGAATATGGCAGCTTTATTGTAAACAGCTGTTCATTGCATCTGAATGTAAACAAATAATTATGGACTTCTGAAGAAAATTAATTTCTCTTATTTTCTAATGGAAGATTTTTTACCAGTTTTTGGGTGAGTATGCCTCGTCTATATGAAGTGACTAAAAATCAATTACAAACTAATCAAACCTATGCGCATCTTCTTCAATTGTCCATTATAACAATGGTGTAGCAATAACAATAGGAGTAGCCGATCTTCGAGTATGTCTATATTGCCTGAGCCGTTATTGCAGTCTTTAAATGGTATAGATCCTTTAACACAATTTGACAAATAGGAAGAGAAATTATTGGATCCACTATCGCAAATGGCTTCGGAAAATGTAAGATGAACTTTTAGTGCTAGTTCAAGTTGAGTTCTGTTCTAGTTAAGTTCAGTTTTAGTTCATTCTAGTTCACTCCTAGTTTATTTCTAGTTCTGTTCTAGTTCAGTTTTAGTTCGGTTCTATTTAATTTCTAGTACAGTTCTACTTAAGTTCTAGTTCAGTTTTAGTTCGGTTCTATTTAATTTCTAGTACAGTTCTAGTTCAGTTCTAGTTCGATTTCAGTTCAGTTCTAGTTCAATTCTAGTCCAGTTCTAGTTCAGTTCTAATTCAGTTCTAGTTTTGTTCTATTTAATTTCTAGTACAGTTCTAGTTCAGTTCTAGTTCAGTTCTAGTTCAGTTCTAGTTCAGTTCTAGTTCAGTTCTAGTTCAGTTCTAGTTCAGTTCTAGTTCAGTACTAGTTCAGTTGTAGTTCAGTTCTAGTTCAGTTCAGTTCTTGTTCAGTACTAGTTCTAGTTCTGGTTTAGTTCGATTCCAGTTCAGTTCTAGTTCAGTTCTAGTTCAGTTCTAGTTCAGTTCTAGTTCAGTCCTAGTTCAGTTCTAGTTCAGTTCTAGTTCAGTACTAGTTCAGTTCTAGTTCAGTTCTAGTTCAGTTCTAGTTCAGTTCTAGTTCAGTTCTAGTTCAGTCCTAGTTCAGTTCTAGTTCAGTTCTAGTTTAGTTCTAGTTCATTACTAGTTCGGTTCTGGTTCAGCTCTATTTCAGTTCTAGTGCTGCTTTATTTCAGTTTTAGTGCAGTTCAAGATAAGTTTTAGTTCTGTTCTATTCTACTTCTGTTACAGTTCAATTCTAGTTCAGTTCTAGTTCAATTCTAGTCCAGTCTAATTCAGTTCTAGTTCATTTCCCTTCTATTAATTAATGATGAAACAGAACACAACTGTAACTTCAAGCAAGTTTTTAGGATAAAATATTAATTCTTTATGAGATAAATCTTTTTAAATAAAATTAATAAACTTACCTCTGTTTTTTCGATTGTGAACATTTAATTACCAATTAATTTTATTTTAAAATTTGATTTTATACTTTTAAATGAACTTTTTAATTTATTTTTTCATATATTTTACTTCATTTAATTTTCTAATTTTTAAATTTGAATTTTAAATTTCCTACATTTTTAATAATTTTCTCTTTTGAATTTTTCTTATTTCACTCTTTTTCTTTTGCCTTTCTTCATATAAGCTTTGCGCGTTTTTTGCAACAAAAAAAACAAAGATTACATTAGCAAACGACAAACACACATACTTTTTGCACTATTTCTTTACACTAAAATATTTCTTTAAATAACTTGATTAGCCATATTATTTCATATTACCCGAAGAGACAATTAAATTTTCTTTAATTTAACACTAATTTTATATTATTTCATGAATTATTTCCTATAGAAATATTAATTTAAAAAACTACACTTTTTCACGAACAATATTTTACCGGCGAGAAAAACAACGAACTAAGGACAAAAGGAAGTGTGTAAAGAAACATAGTTGCCATATGCTGTGAAACTAGACGGAAATGTTAATTTATAATTTTTGTTTTATTTATTCCCTAATAACTTGTTGACTGTTTAAAATAAATCTGTTGGAATATTTTAAAAGTTATGCAACTAATAATATGCAGTTTGCCAGCTGTAAAGCCTTAACTTTTTTAAAAATCATTTATTTTAAAAACGTTAAAAACAGCATTGCCAGTCCAAACTTATAACCAACTCTCCACATATACGGCATCTCTTTACAAATTTAATATGGCAGCTTTATTGCAGACAGCTGTTCATTGCTTCTAAATGTAAACAAATAATTATGGACTTTTGAAGAAAATTAATTTCTTTTATTTTATTTAGCAACTGTGTACATTTTACATTATCTAAAAATATAAAAATTTAGTAAAAAATGGCTAGTGACTGGTAAGCAATAAAAAACTTTATAATAGATATTGTTCTCATGGAAATTTTTCACCAATTTTAGGGTGTGTGTGCCTCGTCTATATGAAGTGACTAAAAATCAATTACAAAGTTATCAAACCTATGAGCATCCTCTTAAATTGCCCACTGTAACAATGGTGGATAGTAAGGGCACTCGACCCTCGAGTATGGGCAGTAATACGAGTAGCCGATCATCGAGTATGTCTATATTGGCTGAGCCATTATTGCAGACTTTAGATGGTATAGATCCTTTAACACAATTTGCCAAACAGGAAGAAGAATTAATGGATCCACTATCGCAAATGGCTTCGGAATATGTAAGTAAAAGTTTTAAGTGTTATATGAGTACATAATGTAACTAATAAGAAATTTATTGTTAAGTTCTTAGGTTCTAGATCATTTGTAGTTTAGTTTAGTTTTTGTTCAGTTCCAGCTCAATTCAAGTTGAGTTCTAGTTCAGTTTTCGTTCAGTTCAAGTTCAATACTAGTTCACTTTTAGTTCAGTTTTAATTTAGTTCTAGAACAGTTCTAGATCAGTTCTAGTTCATTTCTAGTTTTTCCATTTCTTGTCCATTTCTAGTTCTATTCTAGTTTAGTTATATTCTGGTTCAGTCGTAGTTCAGTTCAGTTCTATTCAGCTTTAGTCCATATTTAGTTCAGTTCTAGTTCGTTTCTTGTTCATATCTAGTTCTTTTCTAGTTCAGCTGCAGTTCATCTTTAGTTCAGTTCTAATGCAGTTCTCGTTCAGTTCTAATTGAGTTCTAGTTCAGTTCTAATTCAGTTCTAGTTTCGTTCTAATCCAATTATTATTCTAATTCAGTTCTAGTTCGTTTCCTTTTTATTAATTGATATAAAATTTTTCTTAATCTCAGGAATCTTTTAAAAAAATCAAAGCTAATAAACGTGAGAAAGACATTTTGGCCGATGAGTCGTTAAACTGGAACTCCAAACGTTTGACTATATTAAATAAATTTACCACTTCAGAAAAACTATCCATATCCACAAGTTTTCTAACTACTTCAGCACAAACCCATCCCGGAACAGATGCTAGTAAGTAACTATCTTCAAAAAATTTTGAATATAATTATTCCCAAGCATTTTGTCTAACAGTTAAAGTACAAACCGTAGTCTCCGATAAGGTAAGATTTCGTTTGGAGCAATTAGACGACTTTGAGGATGGTTCCATGCGTCATATGATGGATTTAACACAACAGGAGTATATACAACGTATTGAACAATTAAATCAGGAGCTAGTGCAATCTTGGCATAATGATCAGCGTGTTAAAGCTTTAAAAATTGCCATACAATGCTCCAAGATTTTAGCAGACACCTCAGTTCTGCCCTTCTATCCCAGTCAATTTGTTTTGATAACAGATATTTTGGATATTTTTGGTAAATTAGTTTATGAAAGATTAAAACAGAAAACTCTATCAGGACCAGAGTAAGTTATTTGCTAAATGTTTGTTTATTTTAAATAAAATTTGTAAATATAACTTTAGTTCCATGCGTGCTGTAAATGCCGCAAGTGCTCGTGATACTTGCCTTAATTGGTTTTTCAAAATAGCTTCTATACGAGAACTTTTGCCTAGATTATATGTTGAAATAGCCATTTTAAAATGTTATGAATTCTTAAATGAAAGGTAAGTAGTTTTTAGGAATTTTTTAAACTTTCTACTTATCCATTTACTTACAAAGCTATGATGATGCCTTACAACGTTTAACCCAAATGATACGCGGCATTGGAGATCCTTTAGTGGCTACCTATGCTCGCTGCTATTTAGTACGAGTTGGTGTATTGGTAACAACCAATAAATCTTATATACAAAATAATTTTAAAGACTTTTTGTCTGTTTATCAAACGGTAAACTGAATTATTAACTTAAAACCTCAAAATCTTTTCTATAATTGTGTGTTTTTTTGTTAAAGGCTTTTAGTGGTGCCATACGTTCCGAACTAAATCGTCAAAGAGTAGATATGTCAATCTATTTGTCTCTTTATGGCCCAGCACTCAATTTTATACTACAAGCTCTGGTGCACAAGAACAATCTTTATACGGAGGACATTTTAAAAGATGTACAAAATGTTAAAAATAAGTAAGTTCTTTTTAATCTATACATTCTTTAAATTCTTTAACCATTTTAAAACATTTCCAGTGGCACCATTTTAATGGCCATTTTACAAGCTTTTCAACCCGAATTTATAGCTTCAAATGCTTTTGACTTCGTTAATGTTTTGACTTCATCTAATACAGAGGGCATATCAAAATCTCAACTTTTCAAGGCCTTGGGTTCCAGCATGAGCAGTTGTAATCCTTTATTCGAACAGCGTAATGCTTTTTTAGTGGAATCCTTTAAAACTATAAACACATTTACGGACCCTAGCGAATATATAACCTGTGTTGAGTCATGGGCTCAATTTGTGGCCTCAAATTTTCCGGTAAAACTTTGTACTTATAAAGAAATATATTTTTATTAAACTATTACAAATTGCAGGTCACCGAACTTAATCGTTTCTTGGGCGAGATACACTCTCGCATTGCTGCCACAAAAGTTGGCGAAAAACATCATCAACAATTGCGTAATATTTTAGATAAAGTATTGCAACATCAAAAAAATATTGAACTGCTTTTGGTTCAGGTTGGTAGCGGTTTTTATTAGGTTTTAAAATTTTTTTTAATTGTTTTAAAAATTGTTATTGCAGGAAAACTTTTTGCCCTTTTTAGATTTATTTCAAAAAGAATCGACTAAAGTGGAAGCTAGTAAATATATTTTAGATATATACAAACGAAATGGCAAAGAGTTTACCTACGATGCCGTGGTCATAAATGCCTTAATGTGTGTTGGTAAAATACTCAATGATTCTGTGAAGTAAGTATCGATTACTGCTCTATTTTAAATTCTTTCCCAGTACAGTTTTTGGCCAATTGTAGATCAGTTTTAGTTCAATTCTAGTTGAGTTCTAGTTCAGGTTTAGTTCAGTTCTAGTTCAGTTCTAGTTCAGTTCTAGTTCAGTTCTAGTTCAGTTCTAGTTCAGTTCAGTTCTAGTTCAGTACTAGTTCAGTACTAGTTCAGTTCTAGTTCTAGTTCAGTTCTAGTTTAGTTCTAGTTCAGTTCTAGTTTAGTTCTAGTTCAGTTCCTGTTCAGTTCTAGTTCAGTTCTAGTTCTGTTCTAGTTCAGTTCTAGTTCAGTTCTAGTTCAGTTCTAGTTCAGTTCTAGTTCAGTTCAGTTCTAGTTCAGTTCCAGTTCAGTTCTAGTTCAGTTCTAGTTCAGTTCTAGTTCAGTTCTCGTTCAGTTCTAGTTCAGTTCTAGTTCAGTTCTAGTTCAATTCTAGTTCAGTTCAGTTCTACTTCAGTTCAAGTTCAGTTCAAGTTCAGTTCAAGTTCAGTTCAAGTTCAGTTCAAGTTCAAGTTCAGTTCAAGTTCAGTTCAAGTTCAGTTCTAGTTCAGTTCTAGTTCAGTTCTAGTTCAGTCCTAGTTCAGTTCTATTTCAGTTCTAGTTCAGTTCTAATTCAGTTCTAGTTCAGTTCTAATTCAGTTCTAGTTCAGTTCTAATTCAGTTCTAATTCAGTACTAGTTCAATTCTAGTTCAGTTCTAGTTTAATACTAGTTCAGTTCTACTTCAGTTTTAGTGCAGTTCTAGTTCAGTCCTACTTCAGTCCTAGTTCAGCTCTAGTTCAATTCTAGTTCAGTTCTAATTCCATTATAGATCAGTTCTAGTTCAGTTCCAGTTGAGTTCTACAGACATTTTTTAAGAGTTCATATTCATATTACTTTTTAATTTTAGTGCCCTTACCGTTGAAGACGAACGCCGCCAGATTTCCCAATTGATCTGCCACTTTATACGAAAAGTCTATTATGGTCGTGATTTCGAAAAGCAACTCAGTTTCTATGTAGAAGCTCGTGGTTCTTTTTCCAATCTAGACGCAGTCTACAATACTCTCGTACAAAGTGTCAATAAATTGGCAATGGAAACATGTCAAATTGTTAACAATCAGCATTCACGTAAGACACAGGGTTTCGTTAAGGCCTGTATAGCGTTTTGTTTTATCACTATACCTAGCATAACATCGGTACAGCAACAAATGGACTTGTATCTATTATCCGGTCAAGTGGCCTTAGTTAATCAGTGTTTGGGTCAAGCAGATGCTTGCTTCGAAGAGGCCTTAAACTTGGTTGCACAATTACCCAATTCGATAGAAATTGATGGCAAAACCAAGAGTATGGATTCATATCTGGTGTCATATCTTAGTAATATGTTGGCAACATTAGTACTAGTGCCTGATAGTCCGGAACGAGGGGTTTTATATTTGTTAAATCTTCTACTGGAAGTGGTGCAAAAATATCCATTCGCTTTGAATACGGCTGGACCGACACAGATTTATTTGAATGCCTTGGATATGTTGTATGTACAAAATTTGGAGGAGTTTCCCTATCATATACCGCAAGGTGAGTTAATTTACTTTAATGTAGTGGAATAGCTTAAACAATAATATGAATTTTTAGTGGTTTCCAATGATGAACTCTATGGACATGATCCCAAATTTCTGGCCGAAGTTAATAATATTTGTAGATTTGTGATAGAAGAAATATTAAGACAACTAAGTATTTTGGGTACTTCCCAACAATTTAAACTACAGGCCACTTTATCTTTAGAATTATTTTTAAGAATTGTACGCT